TCGACACTGGTCTCCCCAATCGTTGCAGATGACTGCTGGAAGTCGGGATAGTAGGCGCTGCCGCCGATGTAGGCGACATTCTCCCTGACTGGCGTGGTTGTCGGGGAGGGTCGAAGATGCGCACCGTTCTCTCGAGCGAACAGAGCAGACACCCGATAGGATGCGGCGTCGGAGGGGTTATTGGTGAAGTTCTGGAAACCAGGCGGATTGAAGGCGGAGGCGACATTATGCTGCTGCTGCTGGTGTTGGGATGTGTTCAGATAATTTACCGCGGAGGAGGAGGCCGAGGAGGAAGAGGATGCGGTTGAGACGGGAGCAGAGAGTTGATTGGACGGACTTCGAAGGTCGGGAAAGACGAAGTTATGTTTGAAGTTGCCGAAGGCTGAGGGGCCGGACTTGTCACCCTGGTTTTCTGGGGTGGGTAGTGTACCAGAGGCCTGCTTTGAGTTGGCGTCCAACGCCAGGGAAGGATACCTGCGAAGTAAGTGGGGATTTATGAGGAGCAAGAACAAAAGCAATTGAATAGACTGGAGAACAGCAGAGAGAAAACACCCTACTCCCTCAAAAACAGTAATCACCCTTCAAAGAGTAGCCAATCAGTGATGACATTTGGTGACTGAGGCAGAAAACAGCGTGGAAACAACAGTAATCGATAGGATTAACTGAAAAAATAGCAGGGGGAAGGGAAAAAATAAATTTAGCATGGCTAAGACGCTGATTTTTTATACGTTGCCCACCAAATACATTGAAAGTAGTCCTTTCACACGAACGCCTACCAGCTCTACGAGGCTTTCCACTCTTCTTGTGATTTAAACCTCAGAATTCAAAATTTCTATGTTTATCCTCTTAGGTTTAAAAACAGATGCGGGCTGAATGCGCTAAGGAGCGAAATTAGGGGGCGCTTCCATAAGAGGAAAGACACGTTCAGAATAAGTTGGCCGTGATCCACAGTTTACGTTCAGACGAAAGTTCACCGCTAGGAAACTTGAGTAGAACGGAGCATCTTTAACGGTCCCACAGGACCACATCTCAGTTTTAGTGCATTGATAAAACTTCGAAGTTTTTATAACAGTGTTTGTTTGAACCCCCGTCCGCCCTCAATAAAGCGGTGAGCATTTCTAAAAAAAACATCTGCAGGCAGGCAAACATACCAGGAGCCCTCTTCGAGTGGCCACATGACAGGCTTGGTCGCGAATGAAGGCAC